CCTATATATCAAATATTTTTAATGTGGTGGTGAAATTGAATTTAGAGACAGAGGGATCTGAATATCATAGGTTTAGAGCTAGAAGGAGCCATAGTCATCCCCCCTGCCCCTCACTTTACAGAAGAGGAAGCTGAGGCAGCAGAGATATAAAATTTCCCCTGAGAACAGCCCTGGTATATTGTCTCATTATCATTATCTTTAATGAAATTATCGATCGCTATCAGATGATTTGTTCTTTGACCCACTCATTCTTGACAATTAGTTTATTACTTTTTTCTGGTTAATTTTTAATCTAGCATAGTAGGAGTAGAAAGGCAACTAGCTCGGGGTCCAAACTCCACCTTGGACAGTCATTGGGCAAATCCCTTCTCCTCCCTGGGTCTCAGTTTCCTCATCTGTATAATGGGTGCTTGGGCTCGATGCCCTCAGAGGTCCCTTTGAGTTCTGTGTCTCATGCTCAAGGATGCTGCTGCCTAAAGGAGGCAGTCAGAGACAGAGCTAGGATCACGACCCTGCACCCCAGGTCCTCCACGACCCCTTCCACTGGTCCACACTGTCCCGTCCTTCTGTCATCTCTGTAACCTTTAGTGTCTTCTGCTACATTCTTGAGTTCTGAATATAGTGGGGTCTTGGAGAGTTCCAAAGGGATTCTTTACAGGGGACCTGTGGTTTAAGAAGCCTTTTTTCTTCTCTGCAATCTGGCTCCTCTCTCCCCATCTCTCCCAGCCCCCGTCTCTTTGTCAGCTCTTCATTCATTTACCCACGAGGACAGTGCAGGCTAAAAGGCCCACTCAGCCAAAGCACATCAATTTCAGGGAATATGAATTTTAAAAATATAGCCACACCTTATAGGGCTGGCAGCTTGGCCCATCTGGAGCTCAGCCAGGAAGCAGGAGGTGAGTGAGAATGAGGCCTCTGAGCAGCCAGAGGGGAGGCCAGAGGGGAGGTCACACAGTCAGAGATACAGGACTCATGGGAGAGTGCCAATTTACTCTCACTTTACACACAAGTTTAGTAATCTCCTGGAGGAACAGGAAGAGCACAGGATTTGGAAGCCAAGGACCTGCGTCAGACTTTTGGTTCTACTTTTTAACATCAGTGTACCTCTGGCAAAGTACCTATCCTTCCCAAGCTTACATTTCCTTATCTTTTGAAGGAGAGAGTTTGACCGGCTATAACAGAGAGGCCACTGGATATGAAGCCAGAGGCCCAGGGTTTAAATTCTATCTGTTTCCTTACCGTCTTTCTATTTAAAATGTTTATTTATTTTTATTCCAAATTTAAACATGTGCATAGAAAACATAAGCAAGGTAAGTAGGAGGTAGTCTCTTGGAGGTGCAGATAGTTGAGCATATCAAGAAAGGCTTCATAGAGGTGATGCTTGAGCTGATCTTTATTTTTTTAAATTAATTTATTTTTTTAAATTTTTAGACAATTGGGGTTAAGTGACTTGCCCAGAGTCACACAGCTAGTAAGTGTCAAGTATTTGATCTGAGGCCGGATTTGAACTCAAGTCCTCCTGACTTCAGGGCCAGTGCTCTATCCACTGTGCCACCTAGCTGCCCCTTGAGCTGATCTTTAAAGAAAGCGAGGAATTCTTAAAGGATATGTACAAAACAGATGAAAGTAATATGAAAGTCTCTCCTTGAAATCCCCTCCTTGATGAGAAACTACCTCTCACAAGCCAGCCCCTTCCAAAGTCAAGAATGTCGCTTTCTTGTTGGTGTCTGCTGCTGGAGTATCTGGGAACTTTTTGCCTTTGGGATTAATAGGAGGTTTCCCTTTTATTCTAGGTGGAGAAGGAATGTGGTTACCTAAAAGAGGTCTGTGACCGGCAGGCAGAGCAGCTGAACCAGACCAGCCTGCAGTTGCAAGAGAAAGCCTCAGAGAGTGACGCCGAGATCAAGGACATGAAGGAGACCATCTTTGAGCTGGAAGATCAGGTGGAGCAGCACCGAGCCGTTAAGCTACACAATAACCAGCTGATTAGCGAACTCGAAAGTAAGTGACAAGGAGAGCCCCCACTGCAAGGGGAGGAGCACACAAGCGCCTGCACAGAAACCATTAGCCACAGGAGAGTGTGGATGAGGTCAAACATCTGCCGCTTGGAATTCTGTTACTTTGCAAAGTCCTGTCGTTACCTCTTTGTAAGAATCATTCATAGCAATAACGACCACGCTGCCCATTGCTGTCATTGTCATCGTGCTTTGGGGTTTGTACCTGCCCTTCCCTCCCCTCTCGAGGCTAGGACGTACTCATGTTGGCATCCCTTAGTCAACCCGTCAACAAGCATTTGTTAAGTGCTTATTCTGTGCTAGACACTGGGGATACAAAGAAAGGCAAAAATACGGTCCCTGCCCTCAAGGAGCTCACGGTCTAATGGGGGAAACAGTATGTAGACAACTTTGTACATATAAGGTAGATACAGAAGAGATGGAAGGTGGCCTTAGAGCCTGTCATCTATTAAGCACTTGCTCTTTGCTAGGCAGAGGGCACACGAAGGAAAAATAGTTCCTGCCCTCAGGGGGCTTGCATTCTAGAGGGGGAGACAACATGTAAATAATTACATATGTACAAGACATATGTGGGCATCAAACTCCTAATCTGTAAATGAGGTGATTGGGTCAGATGGTTGTCAACATCCCTTTTAGCTCTAAATCTAGGGTCCTACTTAGTACTGTGTGACCTTAAGCCTCAACTAAGTTCACCTCCCTGGGCAGACTCAGTTTCCTTCTCTGTAAAACGAGGGGGTTGGAGTCAGTGACCTCCAAATTCCCTTCCTGCTCTAAAGCTATGATCTTATGAACCTAATCTTATTGCTGATTGATTGGTTGGTGACAGTAGCTGTGGGTACCATTTGGTCACTGGAGGAAGAACAATTTGGTGAGAGTGGTCTCAATATTAAGTGAACTGACCAATGAGATTGCCTAGAACATCGATCACTGGGGAGGCCAGGCAGTGTGGCGAAGGCAGTAGTACCATGCCCCCCAAACCTGAGGCACCTGAATGGTCAGTGTGTAAGCCAGTCATTTACCTTGATTAGGGAAGGACATAAGAAGGGCAACTGACACATAATAATAGCTACCACCAGGATAACTCTTTAAATCATGTTGAATATTCATTATATAGGCTTGAAAAGCACTTTACAAATATCTCATTTGATCCTTACAACAATCCTGAGAGGCAGATGCTATTATGATCCTCATTTTACAGATGAGAAAACTGAGACAGAAGTTCAGTGACTTACCCAAGGCCACATAGCTAGGAAGTGTCAGAGTTTGGATTGGAACTCAGGTCTTCCTGACTCCTAAGTCTGGTACTCCACCTGGCTATCTAGCTAGACACTTTCCACATTGGTCCAGATAAGGTTTCCGAGATTGCCACATGAAATAGGTCTTATCTTTGTGGTGAAAAAACTCATACACAGGAATGTTCATCGCTCTTTAGGGAATCTACTAATTAATTTTGGTTACTTAGTTATGTCCTCTTCAGTAAAAAAAAAAAAAAAAATCAGACATCAGGTTTCCCAAGTCTACTAGGAATCTATTAATTTTGGTTCTTTCCTCAGTAACTAAAATGACTATTAAATTATATATAGGCTATACTTCCCCCTCAATTTCCTCACTTGTAAAATTAGATTAATACCTAGTAATTCCCAAAACCACTGGAAATCTACTGATTAATTTTGGTATTGCCTTTGGAAGTGAAAATGACTATTATTTCCTCAGTTTCCTCATCAGTAAAATTGGCATAAGACCTAAGGACTCCCAATCTTCCGATTGTATTGAATATTTCTGGTTGCCTAAAAAACCTCACCCCATCGCTATCACGGTGTCAACATTAATGGCACTCATCAATGGTCTAATCCAGTGGTGTCAGAGTCCAATAGAAATGGATCCCTGAGGCCTCATATTGACTCAGAAAACCGTATATTGACATTCTTTATGTTCTATTGTATTTGTTTTGGTTCTGTTAAATATTTCCCAATTACATTTGAATCTGGTTTGGGCCCACACTGGGGAGTGTCACAGGTCCTCTGGCTGCATTTTGGACATCTCTAGTCCCTGGTGCTACAAAGCAGAGTTACCCCAGTTGCTTCAGCCTGACTTGAAGATGCTACAGGACATCCTCAGCTGATGTCCAAGTTCACTTCCAAACACTAGTTCTGTGTCCAGAGAGAATGAAAGAAGAATGAAGTCGGGTATCACCTTGTAGCTAGGGTACACCCAATAACACTGACGGGCAGTGCAGAGCTGAGACCTGGTACGGAATTTGGGCGGCATTGTCCCACCAGCCTGGACAATTGGCTGCAAGTAAAAAAATGTATCCAGAAAGCCGGTCTGGTTTTGTGGAGCTGAGCAGATGGGACAATGGGAGTCAATAGGGCTTCACACCCCAGAGAAAATCAAAGCAGTGACTGATTTATAGTGAGCCTCAAACAGTACATTCATCTCTCTTGTTTGTATGATTGGAGGGTGATGGACCTAGAGCCCCAAATGGGAGGTCATTGGAATAATAATAGGGATGCCAATGACAATAGTGCTTATCATATTGTGATGATATAACAATATAATCATCATCATCATCATCATTGCTATTATAGCTAACATTTATATAGCATTTTAAGGTTTGCAAAGCATTTTACAAAAATCATATCATTTGGTCTTCACAATAACTCTGGGAGGTAGATGTTATTATCTCCATTTTACAGATGAGGTAACTGAGGCAGCAGACAGAAATTAAATGACTTGTCCAGGGCCACATAGCTAGTTAAGAGTCTGAAACCAAATCCGAGCTCAATTCTCCCTGAGTCCACATCTCAGTATGCTATCTACCGTGGCATCTGGCTGCCCAACAACAAAGAACAAAAATAATAACAAAAAAAATCAATTGACTTTTATGTGACCTTTAGGAACACAGGATCCTAGACCCGGAGCTGCAGGGGACCTTTGTGTGTCCCTAGATGAGCAAATTGAGGCCCAGGATGATTAAGTGACTTGCCTAAGGTCACGCAGGTTGGCAGTGAGTGTCAGGGGCAGAATTTGAACCCAGATCTTCTGACTCCAGAACTAGGACTTTTTTCACTAACCCACACTGCGGCCCTGAGCTGCTTCAAATACTTATAGCATCTCATACTTGGAAGGGGCCTCAGAGGATCTCTAGGACAATCCCCAACCAGAAGCATGAATGGAGGCATCTCCCAGTCTTTTAAATCTGCTTAAAGAGTTTTCACCAAAGAGTCAGACCAGCCAGCGATGCTAAAAGCAAGAGGCCTTTATCATGGGTATGTTTTAACTCACAAAAGGACAGTCAGTGTCACTAGCTGGAATTAACTGAGATAGGGACAGTCAAGGATAACTTACTTGACATGGACAATTGAGTGAGGGGGGACAGAAAGAAAGGGATGTGAAGGTCATGACCAGGGCCAGTCCCCAGTCAAGGCAATCAGGGTAAGGCAATCAGCAGTGGTTTTCCAAGTAGCCAGCCACCTTCTGGACTTGGTATATCCAGGTTATGCCAAACTCTTTTTGTTTCTTCTAGTTCAGTGCAAGGGATGCTTGAGTCCTGCATCATTCCGACATGAGGACAGCTTCAGCTCAGGGCTATGGATGTTATAGGGAGGGGCGGGTCTTGGCTCAGGTCCACAGATGATTTCTTCTTCCTCATCTCTGGTGTCACAGACAGGGAGATGCTGGACATGGGCTAGCAAGGCTCCAGCTCTCTTAATTCCAGCCTGGAAGAGTCCAGAAAGGCCCAGGGTAGGGGTGCTAAGGAAGGGGCCTGTCTAGAACAGAAGCAGCTTGTGATAATTGAGCCTTCCAAGTCAAAAATGGAAAGAGGACAATGTTAAAAAAAAATTACACCTGGGCCCAGAGATACCCCACCCTCAACACACACACACCAAATGGGGCCAAGTTTGATTTAACCATACAACAGCGGCTGGATGGATAGGGATAGACCTGTGATTTCACTGGTAGGGAACTCCCTCTCCTAATTCAGGTTGGCACCTTCTCTGAAACTGGTCTTGCAGAATTGGAGCATTGAGACATTAAGTAATTTGTTTCGGGTCACAGAGCAAGTATGTCAGAGGTAGGATTTGAACCCAGGTCTACCTGGCTCTTCTGGTCAGTTCTGTATCTACTTTTGGCCACAACCACCTCTTAACAGTTGGAAATACATAAATCCCCAATCATGAGTTCCCACCATTCAGACATTATTCTTTGGGGTTAATAGACTCAAATTCATCACCCTCTCTTTAATTGATTGCATAAGTATACAAGAGAGGGCTAGAAAAACCATTTTGGGGCAGTGGATAGAGCACTGGCCCTACAGTCGGGAAGACCTGAGTTCAACTCTGGTCTCAGACCAGTCACTTGACACTTACTAGCTGTGTGACCCTGGGCAAGGCACTTAACCCCAATTGCCTCACCAAAAAAAAAAAAAAAGAAAAGCCCATTTTGAAGGATGAGCCCAGCTAATTTTAGGGGGAAGGGGTCTTTGGTACCCTATCCCCATCCATCTCCCTGCTACTGTTCATCTGTGGACACATGTCCACAAAAGAACCTTTGAAGTCACTTAAGCATGGTCTCCAGAAGCAGGCTCCCATGCTTAGCACTCACTGGGGTCCCAACCTCAGTCAGCTGCATGTCTCACCTTCCCCGCTGGGAGTTAGGGATGCTTGTACCCTTCATCCCTGAAAGTGCCCCTAGAGGTACATCGTTGTATTGTGCCCAATTTCTTCCAGACTTCACCATTCATATGGTACATCCTTCCACTCTCAGGAGGCCCAATAGACAGAATTGTGCAGAATAGACAGAAAATGGCAAACCACTCCAGTATCTTTGCCAAGAAAACTCCAAATGGGGTCATGGAGAGTTAGACATGACTGAGCTAGAAGGGACCTTAGGGGATGTCAAGTGCAATTCAGCGAATACATTTCAACTAATAGAGAAGACAGATTTGAACACTATTTAATCATCTTGAAATCAGTGCTTTTCATT